AGAGTCTACTCTGACAATGCCCATAACCTAGATTATAGAAGTGGCTCCAAGCACAATACTTTTACATTGGTCAATCGCGGATCAGGTCTACCAAATCATGGAAGTCTTAGCATTCACTAGTGTACTTTGGCCTACTGAATGGACGAGTGGACAAAATGTTTCTGGAGTATATGAAGTTGATTTCTTGACAACAATATTATCTCAAGTGGCATCATTGGCACAAAAGGTAGAAAGATGAGTGTAATTAAACAGTTAGATCGAAATGCTAGCATTGTGGAAGGAATCATGAGAGTGTTGACTGTACTGTGGGTAATCCTAATACTCAGTTAGTAAAGGATATAAATTATGCTAAAAATTATCAAAGATAACAACACAATCAAAATTTTAACACGTATTACCTAGTCTGGAGAAATCATCCAGTTTTTTAGTAGAACAACAATCAACAAGCCAAATTAGCACCACAATAGACTGCAACGCCACAGTTTCTATAAATCGGAAGTAAGTTTTTCGTTAGAAGATCGTGTTACTAAATTGGAAGAGATCTTTACACAATACATACAAAGAACAGATAAGGCTTTACAAGTTCAGGAATCTGCCATCAAGAATTTAGAAAATTGATGGGGTAAATAGCTAAGGCACTCTAAAAAAGACAACCAGAAGCATTGCCAAGCAATACTGAGACAAATTTCAAATAGCAGGTAATGTCTGTGAGAGTTGAAGAAGGAACGGATTGAGACAATCACTAAATGAAAGCAGGGCTAAACTTTTAGAAATTACGATTCAGAGACAGATGGTAGTAAATAAAAAAGGTTTATCCCACGGTCAAGGAGCACTTAGAGGAATCTAAACAGATTAAAGAATCAGAGAAAGAAAAGCATCAATGGATCAAAGGTTAAGGTAACGGCTTCTACTAGAGAATATGCTCCAAAATACTCTCTCCACAAACATTGCAAAAGATGAAGCAAGAAGAACAGTTTGCAAACTTCTTGAACATTTTCATGTGAATATCCACCGATTGAAGCTATATTTCAAATACAAAACTGATACAAACCCGATTAGCACCAATTTCATACAAATTTTTAAAAGATCCACGAAATCTACAAAAACTATCACTTAAAAAAAGTCCATCAAAATTTTCAAAAGTCCCGATTGAATACATCTCTCAAGTCAACAGGAATCAAAATTTGCATGTAACATAAAATTGGAGTTTAGGCATAAAAAGGAGAAAATCAAGTTCGAAAGTACTCTATGTTGTGTATTATTTAAACATAATATTTGGTGCTATATGGAATTAGAAGAACGATGGTGCTAATGGTACATAGGGATGTACCTAATCGTATACACCCCTCTCGCATGAGGTGTGAGATCTACCTGAATAAAAAACACTTATTCAGGTGGACCTCACACTCCATGTGAGGGGGATGTACACCTTTAGCTACACCTTATTATGTACCACTAGATTAATTCATTAGAAGAATGTATAAGTATTGAAAGATAAAAAATTAAGAAAATATTTTATTTCTCTACTTAAAAAAGTAAAGAAATTTTTAAGTGACTTTTTTCTATAAATATGTTTATATAACTTACTTTTATATTACTTTGAATTAAAATATTACTTTTTTAAAAGTTATTCTTATGTTTTTATCAAAATTAGTAATTTACTTTATTTTAACTTTGATTAACGAAATATTATGTACTTTAAAATTTACTTATATACTTATGAGTAAGTTTTCTTGTTTATTCATAAGTAAGTTTATTTATTTATTCATAATTAAATTTACTTTATGTGTACAGACGTTATTGAATAACTGACTCTTAAGTAAAACATATTTTCAATAGTACTCTTACCTTATTTTCGTAGTAAATAACTCACTTATTCTTCACCTATTTTTTTTTTATAATAACTAAAATTGTATTTCTTTTAAAACTTTGCTTTTAAGCAAAATATTCCTTTTTCTTATTAAATAAGCTTCTAAAAGGTAAAACTAATCAATGCTATGATAACTTAACATTTTTATTATGCCCTCGTTTGAGCCACATTATTTTCATAAAAATGTATTTTTGAATAGTGTATTGATCGAAAATATGTGGTTGAAAAATAAAGAAATATTTTAAATTTGCATGTAATATTATTTTATTGAAGAACATGGTTGAAATGATATCAAAATCACTATTTATGAATGTATTTTTTAAGAGAATGTGGGTCAAATGGGGCCTATAAGTAAAAAAAGTCAATCTTTCTTTTTCTTTTTTCTTTTTTTTCCCTCTAAAAAGGAAAACTAACCCACACAATTTAAACTTTAATTAATGAAAAATTATTTATTTCACAACCTAATTATTTTATTTTAAGTAAATTTAAGGTTTGCTTAAGGTTTTCTAGAGAATAATCAGGAGCCTTGTCCATGAGCATTTAGCACTTATCCTCACACCATCCCGTTCCACTCCATGCCTCGCTCATTATTTCCTATATATTATCAATAAATTAATATATTTGGTGCATAACTTTAGTTAGATATAAACCCATAGGTAACTTCGGATAATTTAACGAAGTTGGCTTAAAGCAATAAGATTTTATTATCTTATAAAATCAAATTTTTGGGGAAATATTTTTTTCTCTAAATTTATTATTTAAAACAAAAGAAACATTTTATTATCTTATATAAAAAAA